AAGTATAAGTAGTTTTCAAAACATAGTTTATCTTTAAAACATTTATAAAATTGACCTTTAGAACTAGTTTCTATGGAGCTACGCCAATGTTGTAAAAACTGATCTTTTAGAGTAGCTTCAACTTTTAGGACCAGCCATGACGTGGTGACATTGTGGGGGTTTGAGAAAACCTCTGATAAACCGCAGGTATTAAGTATTCTTGTAACAAAAGATATCCATCGGAGTTGACAACCAAAGTTATTAACAGAGATAAAATTATACATCAGTGAGGAGAGTTTACAGTATTGGTTATTTGTTGCTACTTTATGCCAAAAAGAAATAACTCGTTTGTATAATTTGATGTAGAGCGGTTCTCGGCCAAACTCGCCATACACCATAAAGTTTGGAGTGGAGCTTCGAAGGCCAACAGCAAATTTAACAAATCTGAGATGTACTTTTTCTATAATGTTCAGGTTTTCAAATCCCCATACTTCACATCCATGAAGGAGAATCGGACTTATCATAGTATCAAATGCTTTTAGGGTACAATCAATAGGTAGGTTTAAATTTCGGGCTTTTTTCAAAAGGGCAAACATAGCTTTAGTTGCATTTTCTACTAGCGCTTTAATACCTGTCAAGAACCTACCATTTCTATGGAACCTTACGCCAAGATAGGTATATGTATCTACTATTTCAATTTTACTGCCCCCCAGCGAAAATGAAAATTTTGAATTGACTGTTTTCGAGGGCCCACCTCCGAATATGACAATCTTAGTTTTAGATAGATTAACTTTAAGTTTCCATTTGAAACAGTATTCATGAAAGTTATTTAATGATTTCTGAAGTTCCTTAGGTGATACACTGAAAATGAGAGCGTCGTCGGCATATAATAAGACAATCAAATGTAACCAAAGGTAAATGTCATCGTCGTTTGCATTTTCAAAGTTCACACCTGTACATCCATTTCTTAATAAGGAAGATTCAAGATCATTTATAAAAATAGAAAATAGTAGTGGTGATAAGTTTTGACCTTGCCTAACACCTTTTCTACATTGAAAGAAGGGAAACATTTCATAGCCAGTGATAACAGATGATTTTATATTATGATACATATTTCTAACAAGCGTTAAGAATTTGCCATTGATACCATATCGTAGCATTTTATACCACAGCCCTGCGCGCCATACGGTGTCAAACGCTTTAGTGAAATCTATAAATACACAATAAAGTTTACGCTTAGATAATTTTAATATTTCTAAAACTATATTCATAATAAACACATTATCGGCAGTCGAAAACCCTTTTCTAAATCCTGCTTGTGCAGGTGTAAGGATATGATTGATTGCTGCAAATAATTTTAGTCTTTCATTAAAAATACTTGTAAACAATTTTCCAAAGCAACTTAGGAGCGTTATGGGTCTATACGAATTTAGGATATTCCTATCGCCGATTTTCTTATAAATAGGACGAATAATACCACTGAGCCAGGATTCCGGAATGTATCCCTTACTCAGCACCAGATTAAAAAGCGAAGTTAGAATAGTGGTAAGAATATTCGCTGCATCTTTAAAATAATCATTTTCAATAAGATCTATGCCTGAAGCCTTATTTCTTTTCAAACATTTAATTGCAAATTTTACTTCGTCTTCAGTTATATCTTTATTAAGAACTTCATTATTATACATATTTTCTTCAATCGTATCATCAGTTGGGATATCATCATAATCTTCATCATTATTATCAGTGTCATTTAGTTTTTGGAAAAAGTCAAAGAAAGATTCGATATTAGGTATACATTGTTCTTTATCAGGTTCTTTGTCATTAAGCAGCTTCCAGTATTCTTTTGAGGAGTATTTTCTATCATTCCTAATTTTTCCAGTAGACATTTTTTTGTATGTTTTAGACATCTGTTGATACAGAAATTTATTCAAAGGGTTTTTTGATTTATTAGATCTAGTTGTAGCTTTGTTGAACTTTTTTCTCATATTTCTAAATTCTTTATTGAACCAGGGTCTATCTTTTTTTCTTTTTAACATTTGAAACATTCGAGCAAACACGCCTTACACCAAACGTATCCCGTGCAGCATTCACTAGCACGTGCGAGATGCCCATGGCAATCTCATCTACTGTAACTGGGTCAGCTTCACTGACATGTGCGAGTTCTGTGCGTTCGAGTCATTTTAGAATTTCTTCAATATTTATATTTTTACAAAACAAGTCGGATTTAGAGGGATCATACCGTTTGGGTTTACTTTGACTGTTTTCATTCTGGAATGGATTTACTGTGTGATGTTCATTTTCCTGAGGACATATGGAGCAACTAAGTGAGAAATGAACATCTGAATAAAACGGTAAGAAATCAATGACATCAAATTCACAAAATAATGGTAGACACATAGGTGAAGATATAACATAATCAATTAAAGATTTTTTATTACAGGTAACTGCGCCAACATATTTATCGTTTCCAAATCTCCCGTTACACACAAACATGTTGAGGTTTTTACACATCTCTATGAGTCTAAAGCCAAAGTTATTAAGATTAGTTTTATCTTGCGAGTACCTTTCTTGTGGTAAGTTAAGTGATTCTAGAATATATTGGGGTTGTAACTCGTTACTTAATTCTTCATTATCAATGTCAAACTCCTTCATTAGAAAATGATCCATAGGAAGATAGTCGCACATATTGTCAGTTCGTGCGTTAAAATCGCCAGTTAAACAAACGTAATCGCTTAAGGATAGGAATCTAAGTGTGGATTTTCAATTTCATCGAATGAGTCAGAATAAATATACTTTGAACCTTCCGGTGGAAGGTAAACAACACCAATATACATATCTTGATCGATACCAAAAATATGCTTTGAAAGCTTCATCCATACTATATAATTTGCTTGTTCATCTAGGACTGATACATGTTCTACTAGTTTTTCTCTTATTGCAATTCCGATTCCACCTGATTTCCGCAACATTCCTTATCTATGTTTAAGTATAAGTATATGGCCATATATTTCTATTTCATCTAAACAGTCTGTTTTTGTTTCTTGTAAACAGATAATATCATTATTTTCAATCATACCTCTGAATTCGTCATATTCAAGTCTTTTCCTCAAACCACAAACATTTAGATTACAGAAATGTATTTTTAATACAGGTGACTTTGGGTGATCATCATCATCATCATCATCATCATCATTGTCGTCGTCATCGTCGTTAACAACAGCATCATCATTATCGTCATCATTATTGATATCATTATCATCAGTGACATCAACTATATCATTCGCAGCAATATCTGCATTGACATTAACATCAACCATGTCAGAACCATTAACTATATCAGTATTTACCGAGTTTTCATAGATCATAGATTTTGGTGATTTGCAACTTTCGGAGTTAACGGAGTGTTGATAGCTGCTCATAACTCCAAACTGGACGTTACAGTGTGGTAGGTCATTTGTATCTACACCATCACAACCGTTATCTAAGCTTATGTGACAGACATTAGAGTTCTGATATATGCTATCACAATAGCATTGACACGAATGAGTCTCTTGTCCACCGGCGTACTCCTATCTCCTATTAGGAGTTACTGTGGGTGGCCTGTAAGGGGGTGGGGTGGGATGGGTACAGATTGTTGCTCACGATTTATGTATAGTTTGTCAATCACCATGTAGGCTTGTTGTCCCCTTTGTCGGGCTTGCTTCATGAGTGGCACGAGCACGTCTCGTCTGTACTGGCTTACCTCCTCTGGAAATAGTTCGCTTATTGTAAACGGTTCACCTTTCAGTTTCTTCGCGGCGGCCTTGACAGAATTCTTTTCCCTCGTAAAAACAAACTTTGCTATCAGGGATCGGGGTCGGGCTGTGTCGCCTGGGTACCTGGGTGGGCGGGACTTGCCTATCCTGTGTACTCGCTTGAAGCTCATTGTTTCGGCATCTAGATCTAAATGTGTTTTGATGAAATCCTTCAATATCCTCTCACAGTTTTCCAGAGTGGCCTCAGATTCAGTTTCGGGAATGTTATTGAAAATCAAGTTGTCCCTCATCGAACGACATCTTTGATCGATTAAAGCTTCTTTTAGAACTATATTCTCTTGTTTTAGATGTGTTAATTGTGGCACACAAACACAGGCCTGTTCCTTCAGAGCCTGCATATCACAGACAAGTGAAGCTCTATCTACTGTCCATTCATCAAAACTGTCACCTATGAACTTGGTACATGCTTCAGCATCATTCATTCTTGTTTTTAATGTTTCGATTTCTTGAACTTTAATTCCAAGCTGTGACATATTTGTTTTGATGGATAACACTTCAGCTTCTGTTGCATCAAGTTTCGATAACTTTCTATCCATCTGCTCGAGCTTCGCCATTATGGCTGAATTATCAGGACTCGTGGGTAAGGGTATCTGGGACGACGGGTAGGGACTTGCAAAATGGTGTTACTGACCTGGTATTGCTTGATACATATGCTGATATGTTTGAGGGGTGTACACTGCGTCGAGAGTTTGTCTCACCGAGCTGTCCGCGTCCATGTCGGGTACGCGCTTGTTTGATGGCACGTCACCTGTGTTGAGGCTAGTGTCCGACGAGTTTGTTTCTTCTTTCTTTTTTACGGTCAGTTTTATCGTTTGAAGATTGTTTAGGCATAACTGACCATTTGAGAGTCCATTACAGGTAAAATTAGGTCCAGAAAACTTATATAGAAGAAGTTGTAGATAAAAACATGGAAGAGCAGAATCAATGCACACCTGTGTCGGCCATCTTGCCACGTCAACAACGGAGCAAAGCTATTAAGTTTAAGACAACATCAATCAACATCAATCAAAGCACATTTGACCAGTAGTTCACATTTCCAGTTAGAATAACCCCTTGCCAGCAGAACACGGGTCAAAGGACTTTTGGCCAAGTCACTGCAGATACCCATCTCGGTAATTGCGCAAAGCTAGTAAGTTTAAGACATCATCAATATAAATGCAGTTTGACCTGTAGTTTACATGTCCAGTTGGGATAATTATCATCACTGACCAGGACCAAGAAGGACCAACCCTGGGTATATAACAGGACTGGCAATAGGCCTAGGAGGAGAGAAGTTGGAGCCTACGCCTGACAGTGTAGCTCTGAATAAACAGTTGTGGACCCGCAGACAAACTGGTGTTGTTCATGCAAGGACATCCACTAGGGAGACAGCACAACCATCTGTAAGTGTGATACTTGTGTTGCAAGCTGCCATTATCAGTTGCGAGGTCTGTACGGCCGACAAACAAACGACGTGGTGATTGAGGTTGGGGCGGTTTACAAAGTTGAGTATTTTAGACGCGACATGTTACCGCTTTAGCGTGATTTATGACCTGATGAAATGGTATGTTTCAGGTTGTCCAGATGAGTAATAGTTGACTGAGTGAGTGAGTCATCATAGCGCTTGCAGCACGAAATGTTTGTTTATTTTGCATTGCTAACGCACTAAATAGCACAATTTCAGCAACATGACCTCAGGCTCCTAATAATCGAGTCTAACGTAGACAATCCATAGATCCGTCCATCCAAGTACTCATCAGTCTATCCAAAAGGGATTTAAGGGGGGTTGGGGGTCAGACTCGCTGGCCTTGGAGATGGAGACATTGTATACCATCTGCGCTGTATTATGCTTGTGATATCAATCACTGGCTTGTCTGATCCAAACTCGATTATTTACAGGCAGCACTCTTGTAGACTATTCTTGCCTGCAGCACTAAACAACAAACAAACTAACAAGTATTTCATTGATGTGCTGCATTGCATGTGGTCAATCTATCTTTAGAGCGAGTAAACAGTAACAACCTATTCTCCACCCCTAATATTTGCATGTTTGTACTTCCGCTGCCAGATTATGTCTGAGAAGATTGAGGCCGTCGTGAAGAACAGTACTCGGCTTGGGGAGGGACCCCACTGGGACGATACCACACAGTGTCTGTACTACGTGGACCTTTTCGTTGGTGACGTCCACAGATACAACGCCGTCACAGGTGACGACAGCCGACTGAACCTTGGAGGTGAGTTCATTTGTCAACTCTGTCAGCTTGTGTGCATGTTTGGTTGCAATATTCCAGCTCTAACACTGTGGTCTGTAAATATTCACGTGATGACCCCATAACGAGTGACATCATGGACAACTGACACAAATATCAAGACAGCGACGCTCATCACCCTATCCAGCTAGTCACATGGGTTGTTAAAAACCAATACAAACACGGATATTTCAAGGTCATTTAACAGTACAATTTTCAATGGTTCGAATATTTCAAGACAAACTGACTCTACACTCTATTTTGATGCCAATGTAGTCCCCATACCAAAGTCTGGCCGGGAGCATAGTGATCCATCTAATTACAGACCAATCTCTTTAACGTGTTGTGTCTGTAAAACCATGGAACGAATGGTAAACAATAGTTGTGTTTAAACAAAATTTAAGAAACGGCTTTAAATTTTCTAAATCAAAAACAAATTGCATACATTTCTGCCGTAAATATAAACCGCCTAGCACTGTCGCCGTCACGAATCTGTTCCGGAGGTCTTCGGCCGGTGTTGTGACTCTTGATTTTCCCGATCTTGGGCTGTCATGGGTCTGCCCTGTTTGCTGGTTGCGGTTAATCAATTGGCTGATGGTGGCTAGCTGCAGTTGAAGGTTCTTGCCTGCTGACGCTTAGAAGCACCATATTGGTCATACGTTGCGCTTGCGTAAGTCTTGGTATAGTCGTGGTGGGGTTTTGGTTACTGTATGCTTTCTCTGTCCATCATCGGATTTATGTCACAATCATGCACGTGCATTTGGACCAATGTCTGACAATCACGTACGAAAACTGTACGATTCGTACAAAGTCGGACAGCTGCATCGTTATCGGAACCATGTTGCGTTTTGGCGAATGTTTTCTGCATGGGTTCCAACCTGTACCAGCGTTTTCGCTCTTTCAACAATCACTTTAAACGTGATAACTTTCTTTTTCCTTTAAGTTTATTTTCTGAAAGGCGTTGTGTATTCATTTCCATATTAGCACAATCATAACACATAGCATGTTCAACTTCCGACCACTTTCGTAAAGGCACAGTGTATTCATGTTTGCTCACTGTCATTGGGTCCTATAGTTTTGTGTCTGTTCTGTTAGGAGTTGAAAATCTGTAACTTGGTTTTTCTCGTGGACCAAAGAACGGAACACGTCAAATTGTGCATATTGTTGCATGTCTTGTGAATAAGTCCCCCACTGCCAAACATTCACGGGTGCCAAGCACAAAGTTCCCTTAAGTTGTTCATTGCTACTTTTCCTCAGTGTATGAACAATCTGAACTGTCAAATCATGTTTCATTTATGGAGATACAATAGCGAGCATCATCATCCCGCGCCAGAAGGGCGGCTTCGTGGTGAGCAAGAGGACAGACCTCGCCATCTTGGACTCTTGGGACAGGGACAAGGTCACCAGCATTGCAAATAGGGTCGAGGCCGACGCTAATATGATCAATGACGGGAAAGTGGATGCTTCCGGGAGACTTTGGTTCGGTAGGTTCCCGTTCTTGGGTCTCCTTGCACAAAACGTGTGTTATAAATCGAGAAATGCAGAACTATAACTCCCGTGAGTGAGATTTCATTAGCAAATTTACCTACAATACAGCGACGAGAATAATTTACACATCACCATGTGCAACATGCAGAGTACACAGAGATAAATTGAAAAGAAAATGCTACAAATGTATTCATGTGATTTTTTTCATGATGAATTTGTAATCCGGTTCGGTTGATTGTCTTTCCAGATTTATCAATGCCATATCCGTGCCTAGGTAAAAACAAATTAGCAAATGTCCAGGCCAGCTTCACACAACTGGAATGTTGGAGTATCTGAGTTAAACAAAACTCACCCATACAGAATGTAGTGCAAATCAATTTCCTTGAGATGATTAAATTTCAGGTGTCCGCTCATACAGGTACACATATCTCTCAGACGTACTGCTTTATGAAATGTGTTGATATTATTTGTATAAATCTCTCCAGGAATAACTAATATGATGGTTTCCACACAGGGTCTTGTTTCTGTGGAAAGGATATCCCTGATCCTGATAATTGGCCAAAGCATCAGGGCTCATTGTACAGCCTGGATCCTGATGGGAGCGTCAAAAAACACATCAGTAACATTACCATCAGCAACGGCATGGACTGGAATGACGACAACAGCGTCATGTACTACATTGACTCCATAGCCAGGCAGGTCTGGGCCTTCGACTTTGACATCACAGCTGGGACTGTAAGTAAGTAGACTCCTGTACTCCAAGCAGCCAGGGCACAAGCTCTACCTGGAGTTATGTGCCGTGCTTCCATTGATGCAATGTGTGTAATTTGTGTGTAACAGATACTGAAGTCACTTATGAAAACCACTCGTCCAACGCAACACCAAAACATTGGGCATTATCCACATTTTGAACATTTACTGTAATATGAAAATAATCATAACAGTGAGTTAAGTCTTTTAGTCCCATCGGTAGTATTTCAACCACATAGTTTCTAAAACAAGTCATATTTGTTGACGAAGGACAGTAAAAACTACATGTCACAGATAGAGATGTAAAACTTGCATGTAAATCTAACACTATCAACAATACTCTATACAACAGGCCATACATCGCCAACAACTGAAGGTAGATCACCATACTAAGGAGCATGTGGACTTGCAATACTTCTGCTTCCTGCATGGACCCAGGCTGGATATACACCATCCATATGCCTATTGGAGATTGTACCCTGTGTTGAGTGTTGTTTACCAGTATTGACCTCCCCGAACGATTTCTATATGTACTCAAGTCATTATTGAACTGAATTATTCACAAGGGCAAATTCAGCCCTCAAAACCTATTTCCAGTAGAACGGGTATAATTCAGGGCACTTCTATACGTCCTTTGTCATACATCTTTTAAGCCTCTTGATACCTTCTCAGCACAGGTATCCAAAACATCTTGCTTACTTCCTTTACAAGAGGCTATAAGGAAATTTCATTTTGTCGAGCTGTTCACCAACGGTACCGGTATACCCTTTGTGCTCTACAATTCCAGTCACTCCAGCCATACAGTGGACACTTCGATAACACGTCGTTACATGTGTATATACATGTGTATCCAGTCTGGATTCTGCAATACTCTGAAACGGATATATAAAAATGTTCTAAACATTACATTTGTCATCGGAATGGATCTTTGAACAGTGAATTCATTCATTCTGTGAAACGATGGTAACTATCAGAACAAGTGTTTGCCACTGATATGGCAATGTCCCCGCCGCTGAAAAAAATGATACATTTATAACATATTTACTACTAAATATATTGTTTTGGGCCAGATACAGGATGCCTGAAATGACTGGTGTTTGCATAATCACTTAATGTAGGCTGTCGACATAATTGAAGACATTGGGTGCAATATTTTATGAGATATCGCGGTTGCATAAGTTTGGAAAGTGTTTAAAGTGTCTTGGTGACCTTGAAGATAAGGTCAAGGTCACCCAAATCAACTGGTGCATAATCCACCAATGTAGGCTGTCACCAAATTTGAAGATATTGGGTACAACAGTTAATGAGATATGGCGTTAACAAGAATCGGGACGTACGTTCGGACGCCGCTGAATACAAAGTCCCCCGTTCCGCGTTTCGGTTGGGGACAACAAGCCAAGTACGTAGAACCGAAATATGTCCGGGGTTCCAATAAACATCCACTGTAATGATGTTTCATATTTTAAGGGTTCAGAGGTTCAGAACAACCATCATTCCTGTCAAGTCACCGTTTGGTTTTGGATTTGTTTCAGGCAATCAGAGAACTGTAGCAGACTTCAGCTCTACTGAAATCCCAGATATGGGGTATCCTGATGGTATGACCATTGATACAGAGGGGGAAATTATGGGTGGCCTGTTTTGACGCTGGGAAAGTTGTCCGGATCGATCCCGAGACTGGTAAGTGGACCCGAATATTGGGGACAAATGGAACAAAGAAGTCTGTTTCCCATTATTGGTGTTAGAAGATTCGATCTCCCTCCTGGCTTATTTATATGAGATCAGTCTCGTTGACAGCACTTTCTGTGAGGAATGGTGTATAGTTATAATGTCTAGGTCCGCAACATTATCATGCAGATACTAGGTAATACTTTCCTAGGAGCTCATTATTACACATGGACTTCATCTACAATTAGAAAGTCCTAGGTCAAGTTTCGTTCGTCATTATTATAAAGCTGTATGACTATTAGAAGACATGAATATTCGTCGACAAATTATATTTACTTGAGTTGGGTCCATGATGGTCCTGAAGAAAACTGATCTTCAGCAACCAACGGCTGTTCTAAGAGCTGAAAACGGAACACACTGCTGCAAAACAACACACTGCTATCATCTAGCTGAGTGAGGGTTACCTAACACGCAAATTTTACACAGTATGTATTGAGAATTATTTGCCTGGACTGATATTGTTTCAGGAACAGTGATCCGAACTGTCAAGTTCCCATGCGAAAAGATAACATCGTGCTGTTTTGGAGGGGAGGACTTCACCGACCTGTACGTCACATCAGCTGCCCCGGCACAACTGGGGAAAACACCACTGGCTGGGTCAATCTTCAAGGTCACGGGGCTAGGAGTCCGAGGTCGCAAAGCTAACATGTTCGCTGGATAAGCGGTTCTCCGTTCAATGTGTTTTAAGAAAAAAGCTCGCCCATTACTTGTAAATCTAATTTCGATGCAAATACTTGTAAATCTAAGTTTTTTTAAGTTCAGTGTTTAACCGGGCTGCATTTAGGTTTGGAAAACAGGGATTGTTTTATATACAACTTAGTTTTCGGACGTTTTAGTTGGTCCTTCGACGAAATATGAACAATAAATATTTTGAAAACAGACTAGTTGCCTCCATATACAATAAATGTGCTCCAATTCCATGCTAAATGGTAGCATCCTTGTCCTGGATGCTTAAAACGCTCCCTGAGTATAATGACCTAATGCATTTTACAGAATCCAGAGGGCAGAATGAGTCCAAAATGTGTTTAGCGGTCTGCGATAAGCAGACTATGGTACTAACCAACATGTTGACGATATACACCTTTGATTTCATCGCAAGTAGGGTGCAAAGGTCAGTGAACAGAATCGGGACAACACATTGACAAACCATCTTGTCCTGTTTGTGAGTCGACCTTATGTCATGCAGAAGGACCCTGACATTGATAACCGATGGTGACTAGCGACGTAGTGTTGTCACAAATTCTGAGAAACCTAAAAATACAATATTCCTTCCGGTTCGTCAACACAATAATATTCTTCATGGGCTTCGAAGTAGTGAATGACGATTCTCTCGGCTGAGTACATTACTAATAAGAGAGAAATTGCTTTCTCCTTCGCGGCTTGCAATGACTTAGGAAGACTATTAGCTTGGGGTAATTAGTAGTGTGAATAAGGTAGTTCCCAATCGTCTTCCTCGCTTCTCAGCACGTTTGCAAAAATCTTCTATATGTACTCGAATTGGGCACGTGAAGATCTGGCTTAACAGTGATATTCAGCAACCCAGGCAAACGGAAATGGGTAGTCAGGTTCGGCGACTTTCCTCATTCATGCTCAGTGTCATAATGAGTTTACATAAATTTATTCATCGCAAACAGAATTGCGTCGTGCCGTTCGCCATTGACGACCTTGGCCTTAACCTGCCCCGCACTGAAAAGAGTCAGCGATCTGATGGGACATATTTTATTTATAGCCAATGAGCACCCTTGCTCTTTTTAGTGCGGGGCAGGTTAAGGCCTAGGCCGTCAATGGCGAACGGGCTCGACACAATTCTGTTTGCGATGAATAAATGTACGTAAACTCATTATAACAGTGAGGTGTAAGTGTCTCCGTAAGGATGGCGACTAGCGCGCTGACAGGCGCCATCAGTTCAACATGTTTTGGTGCATGTCGTTTGTGTATACTGTGAAATAAACAAGAAAATGGGTGAGTTACCGCTACAAATTCTGAGCAGGGATTTTGGCTCGGAAGTGAGAAATCAGGGAATTTTCGAGCTTCCGACGACACTAGCTCCCAAAGTACTGCTTCGATTTTTGTGCTGTATGTCTTATTTTGTAGGTAAATCCATTGGCTTGAAATGTGGATAAATGCAGTGAGCATTGTTGAATTCGCCATGAAACGTACTTGGTGTGTTGACCTCGTTACATCCCTTTTCTTTTATATAGTGCTAAGACCCCGTTAGTGACAGTAGCAGCTTTTAGCGTTACAAGCCCCTCTGGGCCAGTACATGAATGTGATGTAGTTAGCTAGGAGACTCCTTGACTGAGCAATCCCCATGGACCAAGCGAGTGCAGAGCTAGAGCTTACATCTCCCCTGACAATGTGGACCGACCATAATCAATAGGTAACTGAGGTGGGGTTTACTAACACCCAAACGCCAGTTACGACAGTATATGACCATATGGTGGCCACACGAATACGTGCAAACACCTAGTTGCGGGTACAGCAACGTGCAGTGAACTTGGACAAAGTACTGTGACTATGTGTCCCAGTCCACAACCGGCTGTGAGAAAGCCACAATAACTCGGTGCGCCTAGTGGCTGCAAGAGTTGTATACTCGTCAGAGAGTTGAAATTGACATCCAATGCTCGAGGGGAAATACCAGCGCCTTGAGCATGTACTAGTTGTCTGGATATGTGCGCTATATAAATATCATATAATAATGATATTAATAACTAGGATTGCCTCATGGGCAATACTGACGGTCTTCAGACTTCCCCATACACTCCCCATGGCTGCCTTTACTTGTACTGCTTCTTTGGACGCCAGCTGGAGCGTCGATTTTAACTCTCGGAGTTACGGGTGTTTGAAGTGTTGAAGCCAGAACACTAATTGTTTTGACTGTAGACCTAAGAACAAAAGAGCTACGGCATGTTATAAGGGGAACTATTTCTTTGGGCATTGGAAAACCAGGAAGTGGCGATTGTTGCTAGATTCTACTGCCGCTTCCTTCAGTTATCTCACAACTGACAACATGCGAAAATCCAAATGTCCCTCCCTGTTTGTGGCGTAGTTGTGGCGTAATTATTGACTTTTACATAACAATAATGTGAAGCAGAAATTTTCCACATTTCATTACCTACAGTTGGTACCTTGAAAAATGAAATCCATTGTGTTTTCGCAGAGCTGTGAACCCTATAAAAATGCGTTTTGCCAAAATGGACCAACTTCCAAGGGCCATTACTCCGACACTATTATAGATATCGACATGCCTTGAACAAACTAGCTAGTCCGGAGTGTGGGCTTTAAAACGATATAGAACACTATTGTACTATTTGCCATTCAGGAGAAGAATATTGTTAAACACAGGCACCGTGAAAACGTTTGTGTTTGTGTCGTAATGGTGTCGTAATTATTGATTTTTACATAACCACAATGTGCAGCAAACATGTTTCCCATTTAATCATCTACAGATTGGTACTTTGGAAAATGGAATCTATTGTGTTTTCGCAGAACTGTGACATTTCTTTTAACCCTATGAAAATGCGTCTTAGAAAAATCCACACACTTCCAAGGGCAATATCTCCGAAAACCATTTAAGATATTGATATTCCTTGTGCAATTTTTGTAGTCCGGAGTGTGGGCATTCCAACGGCGTATGGAACACGATTGTAGTATTTGCCGTTCTTGAGAAGAAAATGTTTAAACACAGGCACCGTCAAAACGCGAAAATCGGCAAAATATTAAGTTTTTCCAAAATTGCGGAAAATGTATTCTGCTGCCCTTTTTTAGTTTATGCATTTAGTCAATAAAGGATAAAGATGTCTACATCGAGTGAAGATTTGGTCAGCTTAACTCTTCTAGTTTTGGAGATATTGAGGTTCAAAGATTTTGACGTTTTGGGTTATCTGCCCTTACCGGAAGTCGGGAATTTTTCAATCATGCATCAATCTCAGCCTACAGGCCATCATCCCTGTAAGTTTCATCGAAATCGACCCAGGGGTTAGTTCAGGAGAGCTGGGGCAAAAAACGTACAAATAATAATAAGAATAATATTCGGATAAGAAGACCTAATAATAGGCCCATATACAGCGTCAGAAGAATTCCAGCTAACAAACCTGATCTTGTCCTTTTTTGATAAAGCCAATATATATCATTGAGTTTCCTGTATGTGTTGTAGTGCATACCGCCCATGGACTTGAATTTACAAATCAGTAGAGCCAGCGCTCAACCTACGAACTAGCTACAACCTTTGCCATCCTTGCGTGGTCTAAGTGTTGTGTTATCAATAGGCCTAAATAACAGTAACTGTCCGTTAGCTGTAGTGACGCAGGACCACACTGAAAAGCACAAGTCGTTCTTGGCATATATACAGGTCTACAGTGTAGAACTTTTGATTTATCCGAGTTTACAGTCATGAAATTGTTCTCACACCAGTTATGTAAAATGTCTAAAAGTACTTTTAGGTCCGGTTCATCTTCAGCTAACAGGACCAGATCGTCTGCATAAGCTAGCACAGTCAGTGTTTCGTCAATAAACTTCACACCAATATTGAAACTCTTTATGGTAGTTATCAAATCATTGATGTAGACGTTGAATAGCAGAGGGGAGAGAAGGCATCCTTGTTTAAGCCCACACTTGACGTTAAACCATTCAGTCATATTTCCATTTATTCTGACACAACTCTTCCACACTCTTGTAAAGGGAGATAATAGCTTTATACATCTTTCCAAAGATTCTCCACAATATACACATATCAATATTATCATAAGCCTTTCTAGAATATATGAATGCTAGAAACGTCGATTTCTGTAAAGATTTCCGAGTTTCCACTATGGATGTGAGTGATGATATATGTTCTACTGTGGCCCTGCCCCTCCTGAAACCGTTCTGTTCCTCAGCTATACAGTCCCTGGTTCCTGTATACTTGTACAGTCTTGTATTCGGCACCGAACAGTACAGTTTATAGCTTGAATTTGTCAAGGAGATACCTCTGTATGATAAAGGGTCATATTTATCAGCACATGATGACTTCGGGATAGGATTGATGATACTCATAGCCCATTCACTCGGTATTTTCCCACTAGCAAAACACATGTTGAAAAGTTTATGTAAAAACTTTATACTGGTATTATATTTCAAAACCTCAACAGGTATGTTGTCACATCCTAGTGATTTCCCTTTCCTCGCTTATCGCACAACTTCATAAACTTCATCCAACGTGAAGGGGGGCGGTGGGGTAGCCTAACGGTTAAAGCGTTGGCTCGTCACGCCGAAGACCCGGGTTCGAATCCCCACATGGGCACAATGTGTGAAGCCCATTTCTGGTGTCCCCCGCCGTGATGTTGCTGGAATATTGCTAAAAGCGGCGTAAAACCAAACTCAGTCAGTCAGTCCAACGTGAAGGGGTTATTGAGCCGAGATGTATAGTCGTCTGCGTCGGTTACCTCCCTTGGCTACTGTGCAGAATTGAAAATCACATCAGAGTTACCGTTATTTAACAGATTACTGTAACTGTCTTTCCATCTATTCAACACAGTTTCCTGGTCCTCAGACAAAGTACCATCAGGAAGTCTCACCTCAGTTGGGATAATGTGAATTCTGTTAAAACCAACTCATGTTTATTTTCCTCACAGAGATTTTCCAATTCTGATAAACTATCTTTGTTGTAGCGTCGTTTACATCGTTTAGTTTCTTTATCAAAAACAGTCCTTTTCTTGACATACAACTCTCTTAACTTTCGTTTGCAAACGTTATTACATCTGCACCATTCACGTTCAGCTCTACACATTTCATTCCACAAGAAAGTTAGTTTATCAGTCCACCAAGCTTTCTCTTATTTGGTCCCCAGGTGAATGTCACATGTTTTTGTTGCAGCGTTGACTCCATTTCCTGCTTAACCCAC